TATTTCATTCTGTTAGTTTCGTGTCGTTGCATTAGTCTCATCAATCAAATATATTCTTTATCAAGTGACTAACACACCGTAAAGAAGTCGATAAAAATTTACTCCTTTTTTTCCCCTCTGATTTTACTGGAAATTATGACGAATATACCTTTTTTTTATAATCTAATAAAAAATCGAAAAAAATTGCGAGTTTCTTTATTTTCTTATTAGAAAATGAAGTATGACAAAATTACAACTTTATTGTTTCGTGATACGTAATCGCTTTAAAACAAATTGGCTTCCATTAGTGTCATAAGTCGAGTGAAGGAGAGATGCCCCACGTGTGGAAATATGCCTTAAGTCGGCAGTAAAGTATGGTTAAAATAGGCATCGTTTATTGAATAAATTCGGAAAGTTGTCCATTTTCTAATTGGATAAAATGCGATTCTTTTAAATAATGTTTGCAAAAATGAAGAATGTATGCGCTCCTTAAGACATAGTAGAAAAATACATTAACAGTTTGAATGCTATTCAATGTTATTGATTAGATCCGGAAGAGATGCCCCCACGAATAAATTGTTTTAGTTGATGTTACGTTGTTTTAATTGCACGCGAATAAGTAATAAATTGGATGTAATCGATAACATGTTAAAGTAGGTATTTCCTCCATGTCAAGAAAATAATAGAGGAACATACTTTAACTGGAACTAAGAAACGCTTCTATTACAAATCAGTGTCGAGCATTCCTCTTCGGTTATTCGATAGAATATATTATAACATTAGGATGAGTTAATTGACATAATAATTCGATGTTAAAGTTAAGTGACTCGTGAGGTCTTGTAGCACCTTCGAGGTGTAAGCTTCACTTCTAAGCTAAAAAATTTAAAAGTTATATATAAATATTGTATAAAATTTATGTGGAGATTAGTCTCTAGAAATCACAATAAAATTATACTTTAAAATTGTTATTTATTTAATATTTTTCAGTGCGGATTAGAACACACGTTACCAGATTTTCGATCGCTGTAGTGACCATCCGCCTTTAGGATCATTTTTTATTTTAATAGTTATAAAATTTGTCACGATATTTCATTAATAAAAAAAAATGAAGAAAGAAGTGTAAAATAGTTTTTTTTTTTCGTAGACATTAATTTTATTAGAATGTTTGCATTAATCGAATTTGCTTTTTGCTTAAAGAAAAATTTCTTTAAGCAAAAGCGCTTCTGTAAAAAGGGTTTTCTAGTGAAAAGATCTTTACGATTCGCTCCTACATAAAAATGTACACAACTCAGTCGGATATGGAAAAATTATTCGAGCGAATTTAATTTTGTACATCATTAATGAAACTAAACAAGAAAATGTATGAAAAAGATAAAGAAGAGGAGCAAATATATCTTAAAGAAATGAAATCATTTCAATAAAATTTACAATTTTTTATTATTATTATTATTATTACATCGATCATTTAAATGAAAAAAATATGTATTAGTTATTTTCAAAATCTCGATAATTACATTTTTTTCCCCTTTAAATAACCATCGTTGGTTGCTACTTTTCTTTGTTCTCCTCCTCATCATCGTCTGAATGTTTCATTTACTTATTCCCATTTTTGTTCCTATTAATTTAAAAAGTTTCGTTAGATTTTTTAGATATTTAAAAAAAAATTATCTTCGATCTCTACGTAAAAAAAGTGTTGTCTATCGGTAATCTTCTAAAAACTCATCTTGGAAAAAGCAGTTTCATAACTCCTAGACTGAAAACATTTTTTTTTTTTTTGGTTGACTTTCAACTGTCATCTTTTAATTATCTTTCGTCCTTTGCAATCAATTATCGATATTTATATATATATATATATTTACCTAGCTTCATATAGGTTTACCTTCCAATAGTTTTGAATCTGGATAAAAAAGACATAAATGCAGACTTGTATAAGGAGTTAATTAAAATTAGACAGTGAAAAAAAAAATTGCTCTGTGAGAAATCATAATGAACAATCTTAAAATTATTAAAATAAACTGAAAGATTGCTATGTTTAATAGGCAACTTAAGCATAAAAAATGTCTTATCTGAAGAAAGGAACCGAGATCTAAGCAAAAAAATGGCGTAGAATTCGTGTCTGTTGATGAATACGTCAATGCTTTAAGTTCTTTTTTTTTTGTTATTTAAAGTATCGAAAAAACGAAGATTCTTTTCATTTAGACTGAAATTTTTCTGATTTTTTTTTCGAATGAATTTATACTTCATTTAATTATGCCTTATATAAATGCTATTTTTTAAGATAAAATTCCTATTTTTCTTTATTTTTAAAGAGTATTTTCAACATTTAAATCTTACCTTTTTAACTAAAAAATCAATATCACTTTGCGTTTTCATCTAAACGAGTAGAAAATAAAACAAGTATGGAAGATAATAAAAGTATTCGGTTCTATTCTTCGTTATCCCACGATTTACATAATTAATATCCTTTCAGACTTATTAATACATTCATATTAATTGATAGAATATATCCATTTTTTAGAAAATCACTTTTTCTTTCGACACAAGATCACTTTTCTTTTCATCTCTCTCCTTGTCATTTTTTCTCTTTGCTGTGTCTAATCTTGACACTCCATAATTGAATTCTGATATTGTTTCGATTGAAAGAAAATCAACTTTTCTTTATTTACTTTTTGAGTGTTCTACGACATCTATTTTGATTCCATTCACGTTTTCCCATTAATTCTCCTTCATCTCTCACTTATAAAACCTTTAACACTGTAAGTAGGACATTAGAAATGGTTGATCCGCATCATAAATAACACGGATTAACAACTAACAAACTTATATTTAACTTTTGAAGTGTCTTAAAGGCTCGTAACTACGAAATATTTTCATTTCTTCGTTAAAATTGTTACACCAGTTCTAACAAAGCGTGTTAAAATCATCAAAATCGAGAAGTCAAACATGTTTGGAAGAGCTACGAAAATCAACACGATTTTGAAAATAAAGTACAAAAACTATCGATTTTTTTTTCTGAATATTATTTGAATATCGATCGCATAAAATATTCAATTACATTTTATTTTATTTTCCTTTTAAATAATATTTTCTCATAAGCTTTGTATTGAATTTGTGTAAGCAAAGTATTGCAAAGTAATCGAATTTACATTAGGTATGATGTATTATCTCCCACCTTCTTGCCAACTATTCATATCTCATGAAAACCTCATGAATAAATTGTACGACAACCGATATTACCCGCCTTTTTTTTACTTATCCAATCATCGTCATTATCAAATACATAGTAATTTTCATCTTAGAGGAACTAGAAATCGTATTATTTATCATCATTTCTATAGTTTATACTCCGCATTATTATCTAATCGCTTTATTTATCATCCTTTAATCGCACGTGTTAATCGCTGTATTCGTCACGTTGTCAAATTACACCTTTAATCAGATAATCACCTCATATTGATCCAGTTTATCATCCTTAATATAGATATATCTATATAAATGTATATAAACTTTACTTCATTTCCTGTATGCTCTTACTTTAAATTTTTACTCGTTTATATATATATTGCATGGTAATAAACTGTACAAATAAATGTAAATAAAATATTCGTCACGTTGCAAAATAACAATCTTGATAAGATAATCATATGTTATGGATATAAATAAAATATGAAAAATATATGAGCTGATACTCTAATAGATAATAATCGTTTGAATTAGGTTGGAAGTGAACCCAAGACTTTTCATATATAGAAATTAATGAGATATTTTCAATAGTAAGTGGGGTTCGAATCCATTCTCAAAATTTTATTAAGCTGTTCTTTAGAATTTGGATTTTCCGAAAGACATTCTAAAATATGTAATACAGTATATTTTTTATTTAGGATATTTTATACAATAAAATGTATTTTTTGGGATTATTTTTTTATTGACAGATGAAAAATAAAGCCTCTTTACTATACAACTTTAACAAGTAAACATTATACAGCACTGATCTGAAATCATTCTAAGTATAAAAATACATAAATCTATATTAAACTACACTCTGAATTTTTCATATTTCCTGCTTTTTCTAATTATATATTCTAAGTTTTTATTTTATTTATTAGATGAAAGTGTAGTAAAAAAAAGTAACATATGCAAACAAAGACGGGTTTAGAGGAGATATGTGGAGGTTGGATAAGAACTGAACCCTTATTCTTCTATCGTATGCTGAGTTTTTTTAATTCAGTTATAGACATTTATATATTTGAGATGAGAGGATGGGTTCGGAGAAAAATAAAAATAATTTTCCATAGAATATAAAGGAAAGATGTTTTTCTCCCATGAATTGCGCCGTACCATTTTCACTCCTCAACTTCCATCTAGATACTTTGTTATGCTCTCTATCCAGCATAACTATTGTATAGAAGAAGCTTTAGAAATGCTTTTTCACAAAACACTTATCATAAATTCTATCGAATCTTTACGTTGGCACCTAAGAGAGGTGAAGAAATAAAGATCTAAACACATTTCTCATACTCTGTTCTTAGGTTAAGACATTCGATAAAACACTTCATCTTAAAAGATACACTTTGTTTAACGTCTTATTTTTCACCCTTAATTATCTAAGCAATAACCGCTTTTGTTATATCGTAGGGGTAAGGAGGGAATGGAAATTTGTTTTTTTCTTTCTTCCACATAATTTAGGAAATATTAAAATTAACACCCCGTGGGTATGATTTTTACGAGTAACGAATCGACGCATAAAAGTAACGATCGTAGCTTAAGTTACTCAACGTAATTATTAAGTAGAAAGAACATAAAACTGTGGTGAATAGCTAGACATTAACTCACCACAGAATGGTGAATTTTTAATAATTTAGAGCATCGAAGTGTAGGAAAAGTAGGATTAATTATATAGTAAAGGTATAAGAGGGATGAAGAAGAAAGAGCAATGGAAGAATCCGGTACAGGTAGCGCCTCCTTTCTGGGCCACGTGTAAGCGCAGGGGACGACGGGAAAGATGCTAGAGCACCGTTCACCCGGACACAGTGTCCTATTCTCACTTAATCGTTCCTCGCTACTAGATTTCTGTTGTTGGGCTCGATGCCAGATGCGTTCAGAATGTAGAAGATGGTGTTCGCAGGATACCGACGAGTCTCGTAACTCACCGCTTGTCCATCTATGAATATCAGGTAGGATTCTCGTGACGTAATCACACTTTATATCATCACGTCGTAACAACCGTAACTAGGTAGAAAGTTAGAGAAGAAATCATTGTCGGATCATTGGTAGTTTGTCTTTCTGCAATACGCCATATCCAGTGACGGTATCGTGTGACATTTTTAAACGTTATCGTCTCCGTTACGCTCCGTTTATGCTTCCGACGTTACCGTGCTACGTATATTTTACTATAGAGTGACGCTGTTATCCATCTTTCATAATTTTATCGATTGTTTGCGGGGAATAACTAGTCGAAACGTTAAAGGATTGAAGTAACTCCGGATTTAAAAAAAAAAAAAAGTGTAATTTCGAATCATTTAGAATCTCGATTTTAATATTTTTAAATTGTTTTGTGGCATTTTTGAGTTTAAAAGTCATTAGTTGTTTCTTCAGTTTGTATGGTTATCCTTTCTCATAAACGTTCCCTGAGGATAACGGAGATTACTGAAAGAAGTTAAGAGAAACCAAAAGTCCATTGAGGCATCTACCATTGATCTAGAAATCCTTGATTCTGCCAGATCTTGGTCAATAATGGCCGATGTGATTTTTTTTTTTCGAACATTTAGTTAGAACCATTAAAAAATTTCGAAACAAATCTATTGATTTTTTGCCATCGTGTTAACGTTTAGCTGAAGCAAACGGTAAATTCTCGTTTCTTCTTTTCTTCTGTTCTATAAGCGAAACGTAATTAAATTTATGTTCGCTTTTTTAGATCAAACCAAATTGACAATTTTCTATTTTGATACAAATTGTCGCAGCTAAAATTAGTGTTAATTTCGAGACGATTAGGAGGTTGGAGAAGCGCAAATGAACTGTATAAAAAAAAAATCTTTACATTTTACAACCCCATCGAACATTAAGAGGTAGGCTACTTTGTTCATGCCTAATTTACAACAGCTGTTTTAATCAAAGAATTCTCTTTTCTAACTGTTGTAATAGGTTGGATGCCTGCAGACATTTACGTCTCTAGCAATGACATATATTTGTATATATATATATGTGTGTGTGTATACAGGATGGTGTATATAGACTCATGTCTCCAAGACACGATATACAATATGGCACGCTATTAACAATTAAATTTCGTGGTAATTTACGAAACGTGGAACGTAAACCGAGATTTCCCACTTAAAATAATTAAAAATTTCAAGAAAATTAACGATAAATCTTCTGAAAAAAGACACAAAGTTTGGGAGTTTAGATCGAAATTTTTCTTTGTTCTATATAACTGCGGGTCGATGATCGCTAAAATCGACGATGCTTCTGTAGATGATGGGAGAAAGAATATTGTCGAACTGTTTATTTTTATATTTTTCTACTGGGAAATAACATTCATTCGCTTTGGGCCATTTATAGTATATAAAAAAAGAAGCTTATAACATTTCCTTCTCATCTGAGCATCTCAAAGTGTAGTTCTTCTTTAACTCTTAATTCATTAAGTCTTCCAGAAAACGAGGATTAAAGTTAGATACCACTTTTAAAATTAGAAATCCTAACGAACAAAGGATTGCTTGATTTATTAAGTATAAAAAAAAGGTGAATTAATGATATAAGTTTCTTTAGAAATCATTAAGAAGAATAATCAGCCATCGAGTGTAATCAAGAATAATTGACAAATTTAGGTCTTTAGCAGTTAACGATTTCTCTATGGCCCAAATTTGGATAAGAAAAAATAAATTATCGAACAAAAGAAATTTATTTGTGGGAAGTTGGATATGGTTCTATCGAAGAATTTGCCTTAAATCTTTACAGAACTGCCTGTAAATCGTTAGAAATTAGCCAACCATCTAATGACTACGTAAAATAATCGTCTTGAAGATGTTCTACCTCTACATAAGAGTTTAGCAGGCTAATAGGCTTCCGGATCTCTCGTTCACCCTCATTAGTTTTCAGCTAAGGGATGCTAATAGTTGGTTGCCTTCAATTCTCTCCTGCAGTTCCCTCAGGTCTGCCAAACTGTCAACTCATTATCTTTGTAGAAGATGAGATAAACTCTTCAAATTTGGATACAAGAGCATTTTGATATTCGATATCCACACCCGAGAACCCTTAATGAATGTATCTCTCGCTATACCTAGTCTCGGAGAACCACCGTTTTAATAGCCACTTTATACTGAATTTTCTAAGGTTAATATTTATTAACGTATCTAGTTATAGATTTGCTAAGTTTTACAATTTATTTCTGTATCATTAATATTAGAAAATTGAATTTTCCAAGCTACGTCGAAAGTCATAGCTCGAGGACAAATTGAAGTTAAATTTTCAAAATGCGCGTGGGACATTTGAAAGTCGTTTAAAAGTATCCCCTCGGGTGTTTATGTTAAAATAAATTTTAACAAGAATAGTTAACTTAAAATGCCAATCATTAACCTAACATAAACATCCAGTTAATTAATTTCTCATTCGTTAAATTAAGATTAAAAATTGTTCACCTCATCTTTCTCGTGGCTCCTCTTTTTAAGCTGCTCCATAGTACAAAAAAGAAATGCTTGTGGATGCTAGACGAGAATTAGTTCTTTAATTACTGTGTGGGTATGGAAAAGTGACAGCTTGGATGTGACAAAATGTCAGTAAACGGGGGAAAAAATGTGGTAAGAGGTAGAAGAAAAAACCCCATTGTTAGTCGGATATCGGTTGTGATAGGATTAAAAATTCCACTAGTGCTACGAGACCCGCGGGTGTCGGTAGACAATCGATATGCAGTAATGGAGTTGTACGATATTTTGTAAGGTGTGATGGCACTCAGTCTTTCCCTTGATACACTCGCTTCATAAACTACTACCTCAGGCGTGGAAGCGTAAGTAAGCCAAGCAATGTTAACAAAATAGTTATCTCCTCCTTCCATTACTAAAGAATGCTACAACTTCACGAAACATTACAAACCTTCGTTAACAAATCGAATTTTCCGAGACGGGTCGAAAATACCACAAAATCGCCACAGTAATTGCTATTTTTTTTTCCTTATTTTTATAAGAATTTTTTTTTCGTATATATATTTTTCGAAATTTTCCACGTGTTTTTCAATAATTTAACTACCTTATACATCATATATTCATTTTAAAAACTAATATAATTAAAAAGTTTAGTAATTGTTTACGAAAATTCTGTATTTAAAGAATGCTAGAAATCGATTTTTACAGAAGTGAAAAGAAAAATCAAACGTTGTCGAATCTCTTCTGAAGTGTCGACGTTGAAGATGCTGTTTTAAGTTTTCTGTCAGCACCCGATAGCTAGATATTTACAATATAACAATTTTATACATTGTTATTGATATAAAGATGTTTGTTCGAGCTCCAACATCATACATTTTAAGAGTATGAATAGATATCTTAACAGCAAGAACTATATGACCTCGATGGACGCCTACGTTATAGCAGCATTGGATCAATTCCAAGCTTGCTTACGACGACTAGCTTCAAAATTTGATTTTAAGAGTGATTGTAAATATGTAATAAAATTTATAAGTATAGAAACCGTAAAGAATAACGTATACAGCTTAACAAAGAAAAAAGATGCTGGAGATGATTTTATGGAGAGGATAGTAGAAATGTACAGCTTCTCCATAAAACTATACGCTTTATAAATTCAAAAAGTTAGACATTTATATTTTAATTTATATGTTTATATAATTAATTTGAATCTAATTAAGTTGAAAATCGTAATACGAATGTGGTGATTTGTGTTTTTATATTGACAAAATCCTAAGATCTGCTCATCAGTGAAGAATAGATAAAGAGATGTTTGCTACTTATGAGGATTCTGAACACATTAATTGGGTTCAGGTGTTCAAGATTGTTAGACGTATCACATATAGGGAGATTGGTTTTATCGATTATACTCATCAGCAAGAAGTTTTTGATACTTATAGTAAGGCAGCAATAAAAAATAATGATAGAAGGTATTAAGTAAGAGATGATGCGTGATGTGGAATGATGTATTTATTTTATTAAAAATAATAATAATAAATAATAATAAATTAAATTGAATTTTTTAAAATTCTGATAGATTGATGGCTTGTTCATTATGTATAATTTATGTAAACGTAATTTTTGTAAGGAAGAAGCAGACATTCTTTGTGATAAATACGAAATTTGATGAACGTGATTTATATATCAGGCAAGATATATGATGCAATTAAATCTCGAGAAATGTTAAGAATGCTTAAAGCAAGAATATTGTTATGTGGATGAATGATTTCTGTAGATTCTGATGGCCATTTGTGCTCTGTGACTGAATTGAAGTGCAGTTATAATTATACTTCATACCAGTTTGGAGCCTAGAGGCAAACATTTTTTGCAAATAACTTATCAAAATATTCGATGACCGTTATAAATTTTCGATAGAACAACTCAAAATATTTTTAACTTATACAGCGGATAAATTTTTAGGAGTTTTCGAAAGTACATAACGGATATATATCCAACTGGAAATCCTTAAAAAGTTATAAATGTAAGTCGGATTGTTTGGCCTATTGCCATTTTTTGATAAATCTATATTCTAAACTAAATCCATATAAATTTACAGAACAAAAGATTTTTTGCAACTTAAAGAGAGGTATATTTTTCAGTCTATGAGTTTTATATATGATAAAATGTTGTAAATAAATTTTAAAATATAACTCGAATACATATATTAGTAGGCTTTATGTAAATAAACTCAATAAAATAAATATAACAAAAATTGGAATAATAAACTGAATATTACGCGTCCTGCTATACTCTATATATCTAATGAGCCATAGTGAGGTGAGAACTAGTGAATATTTCTATTTTCAATTGTGAATTACTTCAATAAGCAACACAATTTAGAGGCTTAATCGAAAATCTGGCAAAATGATAATGTCGCGAAAGTTCAAAGGTTTTTTTATATATGTTACATGAGTCGTACACCGCCTTCTTCCACCACTAAACTGAAGAATGGATGGAGATAACTTCTTGAATCCTTTACCATGAAATAGATAGGCATTTATTTC